CCACAATCCTGTGACATGTGCGCCAACTGTCAAGTGTCTCTTACACGAGTTCCATGTATAAGCATTCATAACACCACACCACAAGCCACGAAAAAGGCGCCGGGTGTGAGCGTGAGAGACGCCCCTTGAGAGCCCTGTTGAGCATATCCCAAGCTCGAGTCCGTTGCCCCGATCATAAGGATCACACTTGGGCTTGGTCATTTTTGCTCTATCAGTCCATGCCAAATTTTGCCTCCCTAGATCACAGTAAATCAGTTGCTTTAGTGGCCCTTTCATAATAATTGGAGCTGTCTCACTCATGACCTACACACATTGGATTTGCAGAGCTGCAATGTTCCAGAATATGTGATGTAGTGCTTCAAAGACATCATTATTAATCATTTGTCCAGTAAACACAACAGTTGGATTCAAGATGATGATTTTTGTTGTTCAACAATTGATTTGCCACAAGTCAGGATTTCTACAGTAATTGCTTAAAGGTTGATCTTTGTCTATTGAGATGGTGATACAATAGTATCTGCAATGATCTAATATTGGCATTCATCTTCACTATGTATTGATTGGGATCTGAAAACACAATGTGATACATATTGATTGTAGAGTCAGATGCCATTGTGGAAAGCAAAAAGCCTTGCTTTCTCTTCCCTTTTATATCCATCAAATATCACTATCTCCATCTCAGTCTTACTCTCAACTTGGGCAGCTCACGATTTTCAAATTCAATATTGAAGAGATTTTTTATTAATCAAATCAAAATTTAAATTGTTGTTTCTTAAAATTTATTACATAATAGGAGCTAAGTAAGAAACTACAAGAGAAAAAAAAGAAAAAAAAGAAGAAATTTAAACATTAATACATTACAAACAAGAACAAAAAAACAAGCAGTTGAAAAGTTAGTAAAATGTTTGTAAAAGTAAAAAGAAACAAAACAAGAAGAGGAACTTACAATAAAGGATTGGGGTAGAAAGAGGGATAACCGAGATCAAATCACCAAGGAACCACCTAATAGATAGAACAACCCAAAACCAATTCCTAAAAGGAATCAATTGGAAAAGAGAGAATAAGAGAAAGAAAAGAATAAGAAAAGCAGAAAAAGGAAGAACATACCTTGAGTAAGAAAGAAAGAAATCAAAGTTGATAGGTACTGAAGGAAGGAGTTAGGCTGGGAAAGACAGGGAGCAATTAGATAACCTTAAAAGATAGAAGAAAAGAGTAGATAAAATGATGTCAGCAGATAGAAAAGGATGAGAAAAGAACAAGATTAAAGGAACATACCTTTCAATCCAAGGGATAGACTGGAGCAGGCTGAGAATGATCTTAGTGTGGAATCGGAAGGAGTTGATCGGAATTCTTAGTTGATCTTCTCCTATTGTGC